GGGATAAAATCTTCTCACTTTTTGTAGAGTCATAGAATCATAGAGGAATTTTATTGGAAGGAACCTTAAAGATCATCTCATTCCAACTCCCCTGCCATGGGCATGGCCATCTTTCACCAGATCCGGTTACTCAGACCCCATCCAACCTGGCCATTTCCTTCTGGACCATGGAGCCAGGCCACCTGCAAACTCTTTGATTTTGGTAACTTTCTCCAGAGGTCTTTTTGCATTATTGAGTTTGTTGCCTAAAATCGGCTCTTAATAGAAACCTCTGAGATTCCATTTGTGAATTTTAGCAAGCAGACATTCTTTATTATGACACCCTGCATGGTCACAGCATGCTGGAACCCAGAGAATCGGTTTGCCCAAGTGCACACAGAGGTATCTTCAGTACAGCTGAGATGTCAGCATTACATTACAGATGATTATTCATTTTTTGTTCCCCACATTCCTGTTACATATTCATGTCTCCCAACACTTATTAGCATATATACATGTCCTTATAAGGTCTCTGAGGGGCTTCATTGGGGATCTGTGGTGGTCAACTCTGTCTGGAGCCCCCAAAGTTCTAAGTGACTGCCTTATGAACTTCTCTAAGACAAGACACCTGGTTATAGGGTAAGCTGGTATTGCTTGGCTGGCTGCCTCAGTTCCCTTCTTCACTGTTTCTTTACTTTGTTTGGTTAATCCCTTTAAATCACTTGGCTCTGCTCTATGAAGTTTCTGTGGTACATTAGGTTGCAAATACTATTCTTGTTACATCACTAAACGCTGATGTCAAGGTTCCTCAGGACTCTTTGGGATTATCAGCTCCTTGGAGAGCCTGATCATTTCTAACTTCTTTGCAGTGAGGCTGCAGAAGATGCTCCCTGGCCCAGACAGCTCTGAGACACATTATTAGAATTGCAGTAGCAGATCCCATTTCCAATGAGGTCTTTTTGATTAATGAACAAAACTCTTTCATCTTTCAGTGACCTGTAGTCCCTCTGGGAAATCTCACCTCTAGGACTGGTTTCTCAACACATCTCCCTGTGTCTGGGGTTACAGGAGGCAAACCCTGGTGTTCCAGGAGTGTGGTACCCCTGTAGCAGCCACAGATGGAATCAGAGAATGACAGAATGGGGTTGGGAGGATCTGGGGAGAGCCCTGGGCAGATGTGGGGTGTGGAGAGAGGTGGAAAAGGAACCAGATGTGGCAGGAGGGATGTCTTACCAAAGTCAACTTCAAACCTAGGAAGGGAAGCTGCTCATTGTCTCATGTATCCAGCCACATTCCTAGCACAGGTTGCAGGCTGGATAACAAAGGTCACAAGTCTAAATGAGAACAGTCAGATACTGAGAGTCTTTTTTTAAAGCTCTAGTGTTCATCAAGGAGTGGCAGCTATAGGATTTTGTCTTGGATTCATACATTTTCATACACTGAGATGAGAAAAAATGTGTTCTTGACACCTGGAGACTTCTTCTTCAGGGAAACCTGCTCCATTACTCCCATCCCCAATACTAACACCTTTTCCTCTTCCTTACCTGTCAAGCTGATACGTGACAATTTGCCCAAGGAGATGAAAACAGAGAAGACCCTCAGAGAAATATACAATGTCACCTCACAGCAAATTGGCCAGAATCAGGCTGTCAATGCAGACTACAAGAACCTGAGGGGTTTGAACCGGGGCCATTTGAACCCCAGTGGCCATCACAACAGTGAGAGCAGTAAGGATGCTACCTTCACCCTCACCAACATAGTGCCCCAGAACATCAGACTCAATAGTGGTGCCTGGAATGACTATGAGCAGAATACGATGGCTGACAAAAACAAGGGCTGTATCACCAACACTACCTACGTCATCGTGGGTGCTGTGCCTGGGAACACTTCTATTGCCAATGGGAGGGTTAACGTACCCAGTCACATCTGGTCCGGTGCCTGCTGCAGGATGACCACCAACCAGACAAAGGCTTGGGCGGCCATTGTTGAAAACAAGGAGAAGAATGTCACACTCCTCACGCTGGGGGAGCTGGAGGCCAACTTGACCAACCTCTATGGAAAGGGAAATGTTTCTCTGTTTGACAGTGCCTGTCTGCGTACAAACCTCACATCCTGGCTGTAAAAGGCTAAGGAGCTTTTGCTGCATGTCAAAGAATCAAGGAATCACAAAATGGTTTGGATTGGAATGATTGAAAGATCATCCAGTTCCAACTCCCCTGACATGGGCAGGGACACTTCCCACTAGACCAGGTTGCTCAGAGCCATGTCCAACCTGGCCTTGAACACTTCCAGGGAGGGGGCAGTCACAACTCCTCCAGGCAACCTTTGCCAGTCCCTCACCATCCTCCCAGTTAAGAATTTCTTCACAACTATTCATCTAATGCTGCCCTCTGTCAATGTGAAACCATTCCGCCTTCTCCTGACACTCCATGCCCTTCTTCAAAGTCCCTCTCCAGCTCTCGTGAAAACCCTTCAGGTACTGGTATGGGATCTAAATTCTCCTTGAAGCCTTTTCCAGGCTGAACAACCCGAACTTTCTCATCCTGTCTCCAGAGCAGAGGTGATCCAGCTCTCA